AATCAGGAAGACTTTTTTTTCCCTTCTTCAACAGTTTTATCTATGAGTAGTGTTGAAAATTAATTTGGGAAAAATTTTAAACTGCATATACATCTGACCAGACATCAAGAAAAGACTCATATCAACAATTCAGTATGAAACTACAATAATGAATATAAGAATTGTGACAAAACAATAGCACAAATGAACTACTAAAGACACATAAATTGTGAGCCTAGTTTATATAATCACAGAACAGATCTGAAAGACTCACTGTCTGAGATTTAAAACTTTCTGTTCTGACTTCAAAGAACATTGTTCCTAATGTTACATACCATGTGCAACTATCTCTCAACAACAATGCACTCTGCTTTGCAACAGTCTCTGTTCCAGGATACGGAGGTTCTTATAATGGATTTGCAAAGAATTCTGAATTTTGGAAGGAAATTCCTTTGAAAGTCATCTTGTGCCACTGTCATATATAATTCTTAGGCTATGACTCAGAAGTGTTAAAATTTTTGTTTTTGAGAAAGTCAACAGATTTGGCTAAAGTATAAAACTTCTATAAGTCAAAACCATTATAAACATGTGGTAAGTGTTTGTCTTTATAAGACAAAGACAAAATGGGGGGTGGGGAATATCTGCATTATGACAGGCAAAAGTTTTACTATCAATCCATAGAAGGCTCTTATGAATTAACAGACAAATATTAATATTCCAGGAGAAAAATTCAGCACGACATTCAATTAAAAGGGAATTAAAAAATGGAAAATAACTAGAGATTTTTTATATTCAACATCACTTGTTATCAAAGAAATGAAATTAAAATACTGAGATAGTGCTGCTCACCTATATGACTGACAAGAATTATTTTCCCTTTTAAGGATGATTTCCCTTATTTACAAAATTACAGTGATACAGATATTCTCAGAGTGGGAACAAACTTTGGTAAACATTTTTTTGGAAAGCAGCGGTCAGTCTCTATCAAGAGATCTTTGAACCATCAACTGTATTCCAGAGGACTCCATCCTAAGGAAATATGCACTGCAGATAAAGTTTTATAAAGAATATTTGTTGCATTAGTATATACTTAATAATAATAGTTGGAAATAAATGTAAAGTTCAGCTATATGGAAATGGCTAAATAAATTGTTATATCTGTACAATGTAATATTATATAGCCACTAATATTATGTAGAACCATAATGACATGGGAACTTTTTCATATGTTAAGTGGAAAAAAATCAGCATGCAACAATACAACTACAGTTATACAGTTTTATATAAACTACATAATTGTAATAAATAAATCCATTTGTAACATACTAAGAAGTATAAAGAAAACATTGTGAATATCTTTGGATGGTGGCGTTATTTAACTCATACACTTTTTCTGGTTCTACCAATTTTTATACAGCAAGAATGCATTACTTTGAAATCATAACAAACAAGGCCAACAGAACAAGGCTATTAAGTGACATGCTTTTTAAATGCTAAGGTCTAATAACTGCATTTTCATTTCCAAGAAATACTGAAAGAAATCTGGAATTTTATAATCCTATGAATTATTGATATGTAAGTTAAAGATGCAGGTCTTCCTCAGCACTATTTGCTCCACATAATGCTGATTTTAAAAAATAGGTGGAAAAGTTGGTGCAAGTTAAATAATTGTATTATTTTAAACAAAATTCCACTCCTAAGCAGTTTTTAAAGGGTAAGTAAGTACTTCTAATCATTTCTTTGCATAACTTTCCTTAAGGAACATTGTACTTGAGAAAAAAAATCAATAAAAGCTCTTTATACATTGTAAAGCACTATACAAACAAGGCATCATTGTTTCAGTTTAAGTTGTCCATCATTTCCTGCCCTAATTATCCCTGAAAAAGAAGTTTGTCTACAGAATTGCAATTCCAACCGTGCAGTTCCTTTTAGGGTTAACCACACACTGTTATCAGAGTGTATCTCAACTCCTTAAGGAGGTCATAGGTTCCCAGGAAGCAGTGACTTTTTTTTTTTTAATTCCTCTTGCTCTTAGATTGTCTTCCTCCTCCCCTCCACTCTCAACATCTCCACCCCCACCCTCCAGCCCAAGGGCTGAAGACTTAGTGTGAAGGTGATTGAATTCCTATCACCTGGCAAAACGCAAACGCTTTCATCTCCCCTGTTTTGCCTAGGACTTCATTCAAACAAACAAAACACACTGATTTCCTTTCCTAGTACACCGACTACTTAAAAGAAATAGTAGTTAATAGAGCGTGTGAAACTTTGTACAACCTAAATGCAGAATTAACCTCTTCATTTCTACTCCAAAGTAAATTAGTCCAAGTCAAAATCAACAACAACAAAAACTTAGTAGAAAATACGTCTGGGAAAGAAGACAAAGATTTATTTAAGGTAAGTAAACACACTAAGTCCACTAATTACTACAGAGTAATCAATCAGGTGACTTTAGTTGAGAGCGGATTTTTCTTAAGAGCTAGAAAAGCACCAGCGAACCGCAGTAAGTAACAAGACACGGACGAGAGGGCCTTGGGAATTGCAGCAACCCCATTAATGCCATATTTTCAGCCCTGCCTGCTTATGCTGAGAATGGGCCCAGGCGAACCGCCCAGCGGGAAGGCTGACTGCTGGGCCCAGGCGGGTCAAGTGTCCGGTGGGCGGCTTCCGGCTGAGGGTACATGTTTACATGTTTGTCAGTTTGCGTAACTGACTCTAAACCCCTTCGGTCACTTTCAAGGTGACAGCTACGAGATCTGCATCGGTCCCTTCAGCACGCGCTGCGCTGCGCCCACGTGACACCTACCCTCCGCAGCCTCCCCATCTCTTCCCCAACTTTGGCACCCAAGGTCCCAGAATACCCGCCCCCTCCCTTAAAGACAGTCCAGTCACTCTGTGACTGTCGCGTTCACCCTGTCCTCTCCCCACCCTCGCCCGAGATCCCACCGCACACAGGCTGGGCAGGGGCAATCGACTCAACTCCGCACTTACCCGCAGCGCCTCCAAGCCAACCTGGATCCTTCTGGGGAGCCAAGACGCAGAGCAGGCCGACCTGCGCTCCGAGCCCGGGCGCCCTTTGGACCCTCGGCAGCGGCGCGCCAGGCCCACCCCTGAGGCCCGGGGTGCAAGCAATGCCAGCCCCGCAGCGCCCGCACCTGGGGTGATGGCTCGTCCCCCACCCCAACCCCACCCGCAAGCCGGC